GGGGGGGGGGGGGGGGGGGCTTGAGCCCCAGCCCCACCTCTCCTGCCAAGGAGAAAAGGACGTTTCTGCTTTTGTACTTCTGGGATTTGCGTCCAAGGGGCCAGCCCTGCAACTTCAAGGTTCCAAATGCCCTAGGCCCCATAGATTCCCATATGGCATCACCTTCAGCAAAATACAGTAGAAGCTAGACACATCCTGCAATCCTCCCTTTTTTCCTGCACTGATAATGACAAAAGAACCAAAACAAAAAACTGAAAAGCACACAAACAAGAAAACAAGTCCCTTTTGGGGCCTGAATTTGTATACACATAAATTGAAGCAGTCAGTTGCAGGTCTTTCCAGAAGTCCCCAAGTGGGTTGGTTATTAATGGGGAAAATGCTTGGTGTTTGAGTTGGACATGAGACTATACAGTTGAGACCTCTGCCAGCTTGTTACCTGGCAACACTGCTGGAGACAGAATACTTGGCATTCCTGGTGATGACGAAGAAGGAATATTTTTTGGCTGCCCGGTAATTCCAGTATGTCCCTTTCTAACTTTGCAACTGCATAGGCCTCCAGCGACTGTTGGTGGTGATTTTGATAAGTTTGAGCTTAGGGACATGAAGGCAGGCTCTGTGGACTGCTCAATGGAAGAATTACTTATCTCGCCTTCCTTTACTCCTAACCCAGAAACTGCTTAATTTTCTCTTGCCCCTTAACTTTTCAGATTTTGGTGGCTTGCCTGCACTCTTAAATTCCAGGGCAAATTATTTCATGACTGTTCGGTTTTGCAGACCCACGAGTAGAGTTCTCTGCTGAGCCTTGTTCACCCAGCTGCCCCCACCCCCAGCTGTCTCCCCACCCCCTGACCTGTTTTGGGGTGGTTGTGTTTAGGCTTAGTGGGTACTGAGGAAAAACCTTTCTGGAAAGCCAGGGGCCTGCCCCCAAATCTTCTGTGTGAGGTTGAGGCTTCCTGGGCTGATTCCATTCAGGGTATGAGGTGCTGGAAACTGGTCTCTGATTACTGGAAGCTAGAGTCTTTGGCCTTCCCTTTAAAGGGTTTAGACTCTGTAAACCCATGTTAAAAATGCCAGCAGATTGCAATTTTCAGTTTGGGTTGTGAGCTTCTCCATGGCAGGGAGCCTGTTGGCTGGCAGAGGGGCCACTCGTGTAGCTCACTGGACTGTGTGTGGCAATGTCCCGTTAGGGTGGAGGGAGCACATTTATAGAAACAGGAGGTGAGGGCAGGGCAGCCATGACTACAGACCAGGTCGACCTTAACTTGACCTTCATTTGTGGCTTTAACAAATATTGTGCTGTTGCTATGTGCCAGATACTGTGCAAGGTGCTGGGGATAGAGCTGGGAATTAAGACTGGCAAAGATTCCTGCACTTACGGAGCTTAAATCCTAATGTGGGAGAGGACAGACAGTAAGCAAGACAGAAGTTGACTAGTGTGGTATGTGGTCGCAAGAGCTAAGCAGAAGAAATAAGCAAGGAAAGTATGTGCGTGACAGTTTGGACAGGACATCCAAAAAGGACCTCACTGAGTGAAGCGCTGGGGAGGGAGGAAGCAGGCCATGTAGGTGTCAGGGACCTGCAGGTGCCAAGGCCATGATGGAGGGGCAGAACGGACAGTGCTAAAGCTAGCTCAGCTTGCATCGTGCTGGGGGACAGGAGATGAGGTCTGGCAGTGGGGGCCATGATGGCTTGGTCCTGAATGGTGGCGCTGGGGGTGGCAAGAAGTGGTTGGATTTTGGATGTACTTTGAAGGAAGAGCCAATAGGATTTTTTGATGTTTGGCTGTGGGTGTGAGACAAAGGAGAAGTGAAGGATGATACCAAGGAAAATATAGAATCTTCCAGAATTGCTGCCCTGCCTTCCTGAGCCCCTGGTATCTGGGGGCTTCCTCCCACTTTCTGATCCTTCACTGGGACGTAGCAGCCTGTCTGCTGAGAGCAGCATGGGTAGGAATGTGGTGAGAGTGGTTATGCTTGAGGCCTGGGGCCGGTGTCTGGGGAGGGACCTCTATCCTCCAGTTGGGAGCAGCAAGCAGATCTTGAAACCAGGGACAGGTTTTGAAATCCTTACTCAGTGCTGGGTGCTAGGAGTCCCAAACAGGGGGAGGAGAGCCAGCCTAATGGGCCTCTTGTGACTGGTGTAATTCCATTCTGCATTCTTGCCAAGAGGACAGTGTTTGTGCAACGCATCATCTGAGGAGTCGTGGTGGCTGTCACTTTGGAGCTTTTCAGGGAGGTCTAGCTGCTGCTCCTTGTGTTTCAGGTCACTTGTCACCACTTGTCTCCCTCGATGGGGCAGATGATGATGGTATCTCTGCTATATAGGCTGAGCAACAGGCAGGGGTCTCAGACTCCAATGCCCTGGGGCACCCTGGAGGGCACGTGGCAGGCCTGGCATGAAGGGAGAAGCTGCCTGGCTCATCCATGCCGAGTGCCCGCTCACGTGGCGGGAGCAACTCATTCTTCAAGAGAGGCTGCGTGTCTAGATTTGTATTCGAATCTCCTGATTTTTTTTTTTTTTTGACTGATTTAAATTATTATTATTATTATTATTTTATTTTGGTAAAATACAACATAAAACTTACTACCTTAGCCACTTGTAAGTGTACAGTTCAGTACTGGTAAGTACATTCACAGTGTTGTGCGACCATCACCACCCTCCATCTCCAGAACTTTTTCACCTTGCAAAACTGAAACTCGACCCATTCAACACTAGCTCCCCGTTCATTTCCCCTCCCCCTAGTCCCTAGCAACCCCCATTCTACTTTCTGTTTCTAAGAATTTGACTATTCTAGGTTTCTCATGTAAGTAGAATCATACAGTATTTGTTCTATTTCACTTAACATAATTCCTCAAGGTTCATCCATGTGGTAACATGTGTCAGAATTTCCTTCCTTTTATAATATTCCATTGTATGTATATAGCACATTATGTTTGTCCATTCGTCTATGGAAGGACACAGGTTGCTTCCACCTTTTGGCTATTGTGAACAGTGCTGCTATGAACATGGGTGTATAAATACCTCTTTGAGTCCCTGCTTTCTTTTTTTTTTTTTTTCCTTTTTGTCTTTTTTTTTGTGACCGGCAACGGATCGCAACCCTCAGTGTTGCGCCTGCACCTCGCTCAGCCAGTGAGCGGCCGGTCTGTATGTGGGATCTGAACCCTCGGCGGGAGCGCTGCCGCGCTCCTAAGTGGCGCACTATAGCAGTGCGCCACCGGGCTGGCCCCCAAGTCCCTGCTTTCAAGTCTTTTGGCTCTATACCCAGAAGTGGGCTTGCTAGGTCATATGGAAATTCTTTTTTTTTTTTTTTAGGAATCTACATATTGTTTGCCACACAGAATTTTACATTCCCACCAACAGTGCATAAGGGTTCCAGTTTCCCCACTTTCTTGCCAGCATTTGCTATTTTCTGTTTTTGTTTTTGATCGTTGTTAACCTAATGGGAGTGAGTGATGGCTGGCTGGCCCCCGGGATCGAACCCTGGACTTTGGTGTTATCAGCACCTCATTGTGGTTTTTTTTTTTTTTTTTTTTTTTTTTTAAAGATGACCGGTAAGGGGGTCTTAACCCTTGACTTGGTGTTGTCAGCACCACACTCAGCCAGTGAGCAAACCGGCCATCCCTATGTGGGATCCGAACCCGTGGCCTTGGTGTTATCAGCACCGCACTCTCCCGAGTGAGCCACGGGCCGGCCCCTCATTGTGGTTTTGATGTGCATTTCCCTAACGTGATGTTGAGCATCTTTTCATGTGTTTGTTGGCCATTTATATATCATCTCTGGAGAAATGTCGATTCAAGTCTTTTGCCCATTTATTAATTAGGCTATTTGTTTTATTGTTGAAATCTCCTGATTTTTAAATCTTGGTCTCCAACTAATATTTTTAAAACACCACTACTCCAGCCAAACGGAACAAGTCTCTGCTGGCTTTGGCTCACATCAGTGTCCACAGCTCCTCTGGAAATTTGTTTTCAGAGAGGCCTGAGCACTCCTGACTGTGGCAGAAGCACTGCTGCGGGCTCTCTACCTTACCTGTAGGTTCTCCCTTCCACACCTACTGCCCTGTTGTGTTACAGGCATTTCAGTGTCCCAACGGAAAGAGGAGCTTAGCACCTGGCTGTGGAGTGAATAAGTAGACCCTGTGTTCTCTGAGGATTCCACACCTGTGTGTACACCGGGGCTGTGATCTTGACCTTGAACACCCCTGTGGAGGAGGTGTGGCTTCCACAGCCTACAGACTGCTGTGCCTGGCTGAAGCCCAAAACAGTGGAGACCAGGCTGAGGCTGAAACCTTTAGAATTGGCCTCCAAATGAGGCTCTCCTTAGGGGTCCTGATTATGATAGGTTCAGTTTTTTAAAAAATTTGATTGGCTATCCTCAAATGAACTCAAAGGAGATACTCCTAAAAAACTAAGCTAGCTCTGCAGCAGCTCAGCAGATTTTCTGCAGGTCCTAAAGCCCTTTCCACTCAAGCGTCAGACCAGAGAGAGTGAAGGAATTTTGTAGGTTGGGTCGAAAATCTCCATGGTATCTTGGGAAGGGCAGTCAAGTGAGCAGGGTCCACCTTTCCTTCTCTAGAGAATGAAATGTTTCAAGTCTGTGTTTGCTTTCTGTTTCTCTGCATCTAGCCCACAAGGACTTCCAGAGGCTGCACTTGAACCTGGGACCTAGGTTTTATCTTGTCTCTGACACAAAACCACTCCCTAGGTCTCATTTTTCTCCCTAAGTAATCTCTAAGATTCTGTTAACATTTAAAAAGAATAAAAGTGGTTCAGGGATGACATCATGAGTTGTGACTGGTGCATGTTTTAGGACAATGATATGTTTAAGATCTGTTAGGCTTCGATCACTTTTGTTTTATTTATTTATTTATTTATTTTTTAAAAGATGACCGGTAAGGGGATCTCAACCCTTGGCTTGGTGTTGTCAGCACCACGCTCAGCCAGTGAGCGAACCGGCCATCCCTACATAGGGATCCGAACCCATGGCCTTGGTGTTATCAGCACCGCACTCTACCGAGTGAGCCACGGGCCGGCCCTGATCACTTTTGTTTTAAATGTGCCTAGGTGGCTGTACCTTTTTAGTTTCTGAGCCTGCTTTCCTAGGCTCCTGTTCTTTGCTGTCAACCCAGCAGTTGTTACTTGTTACGACTCAAGTGGACATCTTCCCTTCATCTGCTTTGCTGTGTCTAATCTCTAGTGAGATCGGAAGACACGTCCCTACATCTGTAAGGATTGCGTGAAACATAAGAGTAAATGGGCACTAGGTGAGGCTGAGGAGTGCTCCTTTGGGAAAAGGGCACAGCTCTCAGCTGTCCTATTCCTAGCTGGTTCCAGCAGTGGGTGAGGTTTCGTGGTGACTGAGGTTTTATATATATCTTGTTGCCCTACTCTGCAGTTGCTGCTTCTTGCCAGGCTGTGGGCAGAGCAACGTGCTGGCAACTAGGCGACCCAGTCTGCTGAAGGCTGAGGTTTAATAAAGCCTCATCCAGGGCAGCCTGCACTAGTTCATTAGGCCATTTCCTTGAGTTTTCTTTGGAATTCACTTCCCAGGCTATTGGCTTTTCTTACGAGTCAGACTTTCCTTGAAGAGCTTCCCCTGCTCCTAATTCCCCCTCCACTTGTTCCAGACCCCTGACCAACCACTTCTTGAGTCCTTCGATGCTTCTCTGGCAGGACTGGCCAACCTGAGCCAGCTTGGATCAAGGATTCTGAGTTCCACTTGCAGGTGCCATAAGCCCATCCTTCCCACTGAATAAGGTCCGGGTCCTCCTGGCTCTGCTGTTTTCAAGCTCTGTCACCTTGAGCAGTAAGCTGGTGACCTCTCTGAGCCTCAGTTTCCCCACACTGAAAATGGAGATCATGATACCTCTTTCTGGATTGATTTGGGGATTAAATGGAAATCACATATGTAAAGAATTTGTGCACTGTCAGGCATATAGTGGGCACTCAGTATGTATCTTTACCATTTTTCTTCTCACTTCAAGTTATTCATGGGCTCTCCGGTTGCAAGCAACAGACAACGTTAGTGACTGGCTAACTTTGAGAGGATTTTATTGGAGGGACACAAGGTAGCTCATAGAATTGTAGGGGAAGGGCCGGCCCGTGGCTCACTCGGTAGAGTGCGGTGCTGATAACACCAAGGCCACGGGTTCGGATCCCACATAGGGATGGCCGGTTCGCTCACTGGCTGAGCGTGGTGCTGACAACACCAAGTCAAGGGTTAAGATCCCCTTACCAATCATCTTTAAAAAAAAAAAAAAAAAGAATTGTAGGGGAAACTGTAAAGAACTGAGCCTTGTACAAGAGGGTCACCCTGAGGAGTCCCTGAACAACCTCTCCCTGATTTGATGCTGGACAAAGCAGTCCCATCTGGCTGTTTTTCTCTATGTTGGTCTCCTCTGCCTTCAAATTCCAGGGAGAGAGAGTGAGACTGGTCAGGCTGGCCTCCATCCCATTGACCAGAGGTGGGCTGGACATCTTTCTAGCTAGTCCTACCTGGCCAACTCAATGGGGAATCCACGTCCCCCAAGCAGTCAGAGAGCTGCTTCTGCAGAAGGGGCACTGGACGCTGGGCAGCTGGAGCCCTGGCTGTCTACTGCTTCTTCCTTGGTGAAGGGCGAGTCTGGCCGGGAGGGGAGGGGCCTCCCAACAACCTCCCCTACAGCATGATGTACCGTATGTGCCCAATTCTAGATGCTGACAAGAGGATCAAGGTGGCAAAGCCAGTGGTGGAGATGGACGGTGACGAGATGACCCGCATTATCTGGCAGTTCATCAAGGAGAAGGTAGTGCCCCCACCCCAAAGTGGGCAACTCTCCAGGTGGCTGGCACACTGTTCAGTCCCACAGGTCTTCCGGGCTTCCTTGCAGGTCCCCAGGATTCGTCTGTCACCCTGGTGGGTAGCAGCAGTCCTGTTTCTCTCCTTCAGTCCACCCCTCCTTCATATCTGGACTACTAATGGTTCTTGTGATGTCAGGCAGGGGCCTGTCCTGAGTAGTCTGTGTCTCATGCTGGTGGCAAAGTCTGAGCAAAATTTGAGCAGCTTCAAGGCCAATGCTGAATCATCTCCGTCTCGATCCCCTATGCTCTGCTGCACTTCTCTGAGAAGGAGTGAAAGGTGATAGGGCTGGAGTCAGGGCAGCTGCGGCAAGCCACCAACGCACCAGGTCCCAGGGTGACTCTTTGGCTTCTCCAAAGTTGCCATGGATTCTTCTCTAGAGTTGACTCCCTGAAAAAATAAATAAATAAAATTCTTCTCCAAAACAGAAGATTAACCTCCCCAAAAAGGAAAGGCCACAGTCACATATAAAATTAGCACATTCTCTTTTTTCTCTTTGAGTATACACAGTTTCGTGGATATATAATTAACATAGTATTAAGTTCATAATTTAAAGTATACAACTCAATGATTTTTAGTTCATTTAAAAAGTTGTTCAGGGCCGGCCCATGGCTCACTCGGTAGAGTGCGGTGCTGATAACACCAAGGCCGCGGGTTCGGATCCTATATAGGGATGGCCGGTTTGCTCACTGGCTGAGCGTGGTGCTGACAACACCAAGCCAAGGGTTGAGATCCCCTTACCGGTCATCTTTTAAAAAAAAAAAAAAAAAAAACAAAGTTGCCATGGTCTGGGTATGCCCAGGAGTGCGTTTTGACCATGTGAAGACCCCTACATTGTGTGCATGTCCATGGGAGAAAGGTTGAGAACTGCCATTTCCAATTGTAATGATCTCAAAGAACTTGGGGGAAAGGGGGAACTATTGTATAGAGAAATCTAGGTGCGCCTGGGGCTGGGATTTGGCTGAATTAGTGGGCCATGGTTGGGGGAAGATGCCGCATGGTCTGCCAGCCTTTCTTTGGAGCCCCAGCCCCCTATCAAGCTCTGGCTGGGCCCACTGAGGAAAGGCTGACCCCAGCCCTCTGTTTGCCTCCTCTACTGGCCTTCCCTTGCCACTGCCCTGATTGGGTGTCCCCTGCCATAGCCCACAGACTTCTCCTCCTTCCCCTTGGTGTCTTGCCCCTGAGTAACCATTATCTGGGCTGATGCCTTGCTCTGGCCCTGTGTCCCTAGCTCATCCTGCCCCACGTGGACATCCAGCTGAAGTATTTTGACCTCGGGCTCCCAAACCGTGACCAGACCAATGACCAGGTCACTATCGACTCTGCGTTGGCCACCCAGAAGTACAATGTGGCTGTCAAGTGTGCCACCATCACCCCTGATGAGGCCCGTGTGGAAGGTGCGAGGGCGTGGAGGTGGGTGGGCTGGGAAGGGTCCTGGGCTCGACCCCCAGCCTCTCCAGGATTGGATTAAGGGCAGTTGTCCCTGTCACTCGTCTTGGAACTGGGCGGTTCGGAGCCTCTGGAGCTGGCGCTTTCCTGAGGCCAACTTCATTTGGGGTTGAAGGTGGGGTGGTGGGGACTGGGAGGTGACCCCAGTCTCCCTGTGAGTGCTTGGTAGACGGTTGGGCCTAAGAGGTCACTGTCGATGAGTTGAGGGAGGTGTGGGAAGGGGTTGGCCTCAGGTTCCACAGTTAGGGTGCAGTAGAGCTGAGACCGGAGTCCACGTCTCCTAGTTCCCAGGCCAGTGGTATTTCTGCCTTGCTGCGTGGCTCTGACCACCGGCAATGCTATCAGTAACGGGGGTGAGGAGGAGGAAGCTGACAGTCATGACGGCTTCTTTGCGCAGCCCATCCCTCTGTCCTCCTGGACTCTTGTGCAGGAAGGTTTACAGAGACTCTGTAGAGGAGTGCCGTGTGTCAGGCCTGTGTCCTTTGGAGTCTCAGAGGCCTCTGGGGAGCATTGCTACTGCCCTGCTGTCACTGTCTCTGCCTGGTGGTTGTGCAGAGATCTCTGAGAGATGCCCCTGCCAGGCCTGGGCTGGTTGCTGGTCCTTGGTTCTAGGGGCGGCTCTGAAGAGTTCTCTAAAATGGCACCAGTGTGTGGATAAAGGTTTCAGGTTTGGATGATTGAGGAGTTTTCCAAGTTCTCTCTCCCCATTTCCTGTGGCCTGAGAGAGCTAGTAGGAAGCATTCACGAGACATCTGCAAACTCTCCAGGCCGCCTACTGTCCTTCACTGGTTTTCTTCCATTTCTCCTGGTCCCAGGGATTTTTGTATCCCCATGTTATGGACAAGAAAGTGGAGGGTCCCAGTCTTAGGAACTTGGGGAGCATCAGGGCTAGAACCAGTGCATCTGGAGTGAGGCAGCGTGCTGTCCGGTGTGTCGGAGGAGCCTTTCCCTCAGACTGAGCTATTCCGTGAGTGACAAGGGAGCAGTAAGGGCGGACAGAGCACGTTCCACACCCAGGCACTGTTCTAGGCCCTTCACACGTGAGCTCATGTGATCCTCACAACAACCCAGTAGACTAGGTATTTTATCAATAGGTTCATTTTACAGCTCAGATTAAGACATTTGCATAAGCTTCACAGTTAGAATTGGCAGGTTCCATAGCCCACGTAGTTACATTCTAGACTTGACTGTCTCTCGCAGGATGACTTTTAGGTCCCCTGTCTGACTGTCGTTGCTTAGGGTTCACTTTCTGGTTGGAAGGTAGGTGCTGCAGTAGGTCCACTTCATTTCTGTCCTTACAGAGTTCAAGCTGAAGAAAATGTGGAAAAGTCCCAACGGAACCATCCGGAACATCCTTGGGGGGACTGTCTTCCGGGAGCCCATTATCTGCAAAAACATCCCACGCCTTGTCCCTGGCTGGACCAAGCCCATCACCATTGGCAGGCATGCCCATGGCGACCAGGTGGGCCAGGGTGGGAGATGGGGTCCCTTGACCTGGGCTCCCCAACTGGAGCCTTTGGCTTGAGCCATCCTTTCTTCTCTGCAGTACAAGGCCACAGATTTCGTGGTGGACCGGGCTGGCACGTTTAAGATGGTCTTTACCCCGAAGGACGGCAGCAGTGCCAAGGAGTGGGAGGTGTACAACTTCCCCATGGGCGGTGTGGGCATGGGCATGTACAACACGGATGAGGTGAGGCCTGGCTCCCTGCTTCCCCGTCTGTCTCTCCGTCTCTGTCTCTTGGCTCTTTTTTTTTTTTTCTGTGTTGGCCTCATTCTCAGGCCATGAAGAGGCAGAAGTAGCCACTGGTAGCTCCAGACCTATGCCCTGCCTGCTTAGCTACCCATGAGAAAAGAGCACCTCTTTGCCCATATTCTAGCAGAAGGGCCAGGCTCGGGTCACAGACCATCTCTGAACCAATCACTGTGGTCTGGGGAGGAAGGGCTCTGGCTGGATAAACCAGTCAACACAAGCAGTGGGTGGGTGGTCTGGGGGAATTAGCCTTCCCCAGCCATATGCTTTGAGAATTGGGGAGGGGGAGGTAGCTTTCCCAAGCAAATTTGGGGGGCTGCTTGCTCTCAGAAGGTTGGAGGGTGACGCTGGGCCAGCAGAAATAATAGGTGCTTACTCCATGGTGGCCTGTGTTAAGTAGTTGTGTGGAGGGTGGGGATGCTGTTCCTGGAGGTCTGGGCCTTGCCCTGGGAAACTGGGGAAAGCTGGCAGTCCCCAGGCTGGGGGACCATGCCAGGGTCCTCTCTTCCTCCCCCTGCAGTCTATCTCGGGTTTTGCGCACAGCTGCTTCCAGTATGCCATCCAGAAGAAGTGGCCGCTGTACATGAGCACTAAGAACACCATTCTGAAAGCCTATGACGGGCGTTTCAAGGACATCTTCCAGGAGATCTTTGACAAGTAACAACCTCTTCCTTTGCTGCTTTCCAAGGACTCTGCAGCCTTTCTTCTCTCCCCCCGATGCTGTCCCCATCCTACTGGGGGAGGTCGCCATCCCAGTGCATTTGGCTCAGTTCTGAGGCTCAGGGAGGGGTCCCCAACCTGTCAGCCTCCTGCCCGCTCCCCACAACAGGCCGTTTTACTCCCAGGCACTATAAGACGGACTTCGACAAGAATAAGATCTGGTATGAGCACCGGCTTATTGATGACATGGTGGCTCAGGTCCTGAAGTCTTCGGGAGGCTTTGTGTGGGCCTGCAAGAACTACGACGGGGACGTGCAGTCAGACATCCTGGCCCAGGGTATGCTGGGAGGACCCTGCTCTGTGGGGATGGACTGTCGCTCGTCTCTGGCTGGGGGGATTTCAGACCCTTTTGGTAGAAGACTTCCCCTAGTATAGCTCCAGGAGTCATTGCAGGGTCCCCTGTGGACAGCAGGGGGCAGAAGCTCCCTGGCATCTGAGTGAGGGACGACCACAAACAAGGTTTGGACTGGTGTACTACTAGGTTGCCCTTAGAGAGAAAGGAGTGCACAGGAATTCAGGTCCTAAAGGGCTAGGTTGTCAGCCCTGAGGTTCCTGTCTGTGACAGAGCCAAGTGACTGTCTGGCTCCAGTAGGAAAATGGGATCAAGCAGGACTGGAATGTTCTTTAAATTACAGGAAATGCTTTTTGCACAGTAAATCTAATAGATGTAGGAGAATATCATGGGAGATGGCAAACCCCAAGCCCTAGGGTGTCCTGGAAGACACATGGATTGCAGCAGAAAGCATGGATGAGGCCACTAGAGAACAGCGAGAAAGAGCCCAGTGTTGTTGGGAACGAGCTAGACAGGTGGGAGCAGGCACCTCACAAGGCATAGTGGGAAAGAAATGCAAGGTTGTGTGAGGTGGGCTGAGTGCAGCCCCTGCTGAGGAGAGAAGGGAAGCCCGCAACAGGCTGCGGTGCAAAGGCGGAGGGTCTTGTTGCTTTGTACACACGCTTAGCTTTACTTGAAAAGTTCAGTGGTGAGCCTTTTGCCAGAACAATTCCCATCTAGGATGCAGGGGTGAAAAGCCATAGCAGATGAGAGAAAGGCATGACAGTTAACCTTAATTATCCAAGGAACTGGTGGGTGGGAAGGTCCAGGTAAAAGCGGAGGAGGGATTCCCCACAGCAGAAATTCTCAAATTATTTTCCTATAAAAGTTGCCCACTTTTTCTTCCTTGGGGCTTCACAATCCTTATTTTGGTGCCATGGTAGTGCTTTTGAAGCCTCAGGGTCCTTGACAACAGAAAGTGTCACTTGAGCTGACATCTGGGTTTGGGAAAATATGGAAATAAATCACAAAGCTTGAAAGTGGCCTAAATGAGCAGCAGGAAAAGTGATTACTGCAGAATAGCTGGCAGCAGCTTTATTTTTTCTGCTTGAATGAGCCTCTTGGTCATAGGCCAGGCTGGGTGGGCCACCTATGGGAGGCTGCAGAACTTGGTGAGGTCTTGGGCCCTGGGGGCCCTATACTCTGGAGCACCTGGAGGTGGGGACACAGATGTACGTTAATGGGTTGATGATAGCCACACTTGAGTGCCCCCTTGCCCTGTGCTGGGTCCTGGAGACCCATGACAAGGGTGGACGAGCCCCACAACCAGTCCCTGTCCTCCCAGTTACAGTTGGGGGAGGTTGAGGCAGCTATGACAGCAGGTGAGGAGGACCGGGGGAGCTGCACCCTGGGTGGTCTGAGCAGAGGCGCCAGCACTGAGGGAAGAGTCTTTCCACCCCTCAGGCTTTGGCTCCCTTGGCTTGATGACGTCTGTGCTTGTCTGTCCGGATGGGAAGACCATTGAGGCTGAGGCTGCTCATGGGACAGTCACCCGCCACTATCGGGAGCATCAGAAGGTAAGTGTGGGGCATGTGGCCAGAGGACGCCTAGGGACCCAAAGCCCACTTGCCCCAAGGGCTAGGACGACAAGCATGTCCTATCAGTCTGGCATGGGCAGCTGCATCCGGGAGGGCTCCTCTCTAGCCAGCTCGGTTTTTGATCCCTCTGTGACCTCTGCCCCAGGGCCGGCCTACCAGTACCAACCCCATTGCCAGCATCTTTGCCTGGACACGTGGCCTAGAGCACCGGGGGAAGCTGGACGGGAACCAGGACCTCATCAGGTGAGCGGAGAGGCAGAGTTCTGAGCTGGCCCAGGGCGGGCTCTGGGTCCGGGCCCTGCACAGCTGAGGTCTTGTCTGCCCCGCCCCTACAGGTTTGCCCAGACTCTGGAAAAGGTGTGTGTCGAGACAGTAGAGAGCGGAGCCATGACCAAGGACCTCGCGGGCTGCATCCACGGCCTAAGCAAGTGCGTGGCTGGGGTGGAGGGCAGGGCTGGCCTTCTGGCACCTTGGGGCTGGGTGAGGAAGGAGACCGCTCTTAGAGTCCCTGTCATGAGTCAGCTTAGCTGCCAGGGGCCTGGGGCAGGATTACAACCCTCAGGGATGGCTAGGCCAAGCCTCCCCAGACTCTCTATCCAGGCCCAGTGAGTTGGTCTCCACCCTCACATTGGGAGTTCGTATCCCCTCCTGCACCCATCTCCCAGCTTCTCCTAGTAGAGCTAGTTCCTTCTTGTCTAGTCACCTGGAAAAGACAAGACAGAGCCTACCAGGTTCTTGCTGCATTGGCTGTGGTTCTTTGGCAGTTGGCTATGGGCAACCTTCGGCCTGTAGCCTGGGCGCCATGAGCAGGCTGTTCCGATGCTCAAGCGCGGGCTGTGCCCTGGAAGGGGGCCCGGCTGATGGCCTTGTGTGGCCTGGAGCCGCGCCAGCCAGTGAATGGTGTTCTCTCGGCAGCGTGAAGCTGAATGAGCACTTCCTGAACACCACGGACTTCCTGGACACCATCAAGGGCAACCTGGACAGAGCGCTGGGCAAGCAGTAGGAGACACGCCGCCCCAGCAGCCGTGCACGGGCCAGAACCGGCGGCAGCACGTCCTCCCGACACGCGGTGGAGGGTGAGCCTCACGGCCCCCCTCTGGAGGCCTTTCTAGGGGACTTTTTTTATAAGCGAGATGTTTTTAAAAGTATATGTGTGTTCCCCTCATGGTGACGTGGGGCAGGAACAGTGTGTCTTACCTCAGCCAGTCAGTATGTTCTGCATACTGTAATTTATATTGCCCTTGGAACACATGGTGCCATATTTAGCTACTAAAAAGCTCTTCACAAAACTGTCTGCTGTGTTTGTCCCTGAGGGGAAGGAGGCAGCTGGGGCCAGAGGCAGAGGCCCTCATAGAGCTGGCAGGTTCCACTAGAGCAACTGGGGCCACAACAGGCCTCTGGCTAGCAGTAGGGGCCACCATGGGGGAGAGGGGATCAGGCAGCTGTGTGAACCTCCTACATCCTACAGGAGCAGCCTGAGGAGCTGCTGGGACTCTGGGGACACAGGCCTGCGGGTCCCCTGGGATTTCCTGTACTGATCCAGTCCCTATACCTGGTTCTTCATTTTGGGATTGTATCGCTTCCTGATAGATTCTGGTTATCTTTTCTCTGTTGGTTTTAGCCTTCTAACATATCCTGGCCTCTTTATTTGCCTTTTTCCCTGTACGAAAAGCAGGCCCCACCTAGCACCTGCCTTGCAGTACTCTCCACGGCTGTCTGGAGCTGGGTGTGTGTGGACGGGGGTTCCTGTGTAGTCTAGGCCAGTGGTTCCCAGACTGGGGTTCATTTTCACTATGCTTTTGTAAAGCTAGAGAAGTTTGGTTCTAAAGTTGGCCTAAATGTACTTTCACTTCAATTTATATTCAATTTAAAGGACTGTCTCCTACACAGGAATCATATTCTACTTTTCAGTAGGTTTGAGATGGACTCTCCCCCACCACTAACGGTCCCCTTCCTCTTCCTCAAACTCCCAGGGCTGTGGGAAGAAAATCTGGAGTGCTGGCTCTGGCAGACCCAGATCCTGGGAGGAAGCTCAAGCTTCCTGCCTCTTCTTGCCTGTTATTAGCAAAGCACTGGCAGCTGCCCAGAGTGCAGCCTCTGAAGCTGGCCTGGCATTGGGAAGCTGGCTTCTTTCCTGGGGCCATGTGGGTGGGGAGGGAGGGAAAGCGGCTTTTCTCTGCAAATGGTGGGAATTCTGGGGCCTTGGCCCATACTCCCCTCTCCTTGGCTTGGAGCAGCTCACTGTAGGTGTCTGGCCCTGCAGGTGGCCGTGCCACTGTAGGGGATGGTCTCACCCCCACCAGGACCCTGGAGAGTGCTGCCCCACTGTTTGGGGCCTGGAATTCCTTCTGGAGGAGGGGTGAGGGCCAGGTTCCCAAGAGCTGTGGAAAGCAGCACACAGTCGCCTCACTAAAGAATATTCATTTATTTATAATTATTGCTAAGTAAACTTCTCTTTTAAACAGGAACATAAAAACACAGTAGGGCTTTGCACAAGTGGAATCTCTAAACAGTTGGTTTGTATACATGTCAAAATAAGTTAGAATGGAATTTCTTTGCACAAGTGGAATCTCTAAACAGTTGGTTTGTATACATGTCAAAATAAGTTAGAATGGAATTTCTTTGCACAAGTGGAATCTCTAAACAGTTGGTTTGTATACATGTCAAAATAAGTTAGAATGGAATTTGTCCAGGAGTTTCCGAGTCACCCCAGAGGCCGCACGCCTCTTTTGAGAAGGTTGGGAGGGGTGAGGACAGGAGCCTTGCCAAGACCACCCCCAGCTCCAACTGCGAGTTGTGCTGTTTCCTCCTCTTAGCTTTGCCCAGGTCCAAGGCACAGGGCAGGGGGGCGTTCAAGTATCGAACCTCGCAGAGGGCCGGTGCCGATGGCGGGGCTGGGGGAGGGAAGGAGAGCCCCCACCCAGGGGCAGACCTTCTCCCTTCGGTTTCTGAGACCAAGGCCACTGCGCTGGCAGGAGAGAGGAGGAAGAGGAGGTACAGGGTTCTTTTTGGTACCAGGGAGAAAGACGTTGTGGGAAGAGGTAGTTTGCAGGGGACAATGCCTTCTGCTCAGCAGGAGAAAATGTCTTGTACAGTGACGGGGTCACTGCCACCTGAGGGTAATCATGGTGGGCACCTGGGAGGCCGGGGGCCCTTGGGGTCTGGGGAGCCACACTTGGGCCACCTTGTCTACCCCTCAGTCCTGATCACGGTCACCCTGAGGCCTGGCTTGGTCCTTCATTTAAGGATACAGCCCTGGGAGTAGCTGCATTTTAAATTGGTTCCCCACACCCTGGCTGTTTGCCTTTCCTGGTTTCTGGGTTGAAGCTGGTGGCCTCACCTGCATCTTTGGGGATGGCCCTGCCTGCTCCTCCCCAGTGAGGCCCCAGGAGGTGGGTAGGTGGGAGTCCGGGTGCCCTAGAGTTCCTGAATGTGCTCTTCCACTGCCCGGGGCCTGTAGTCTTCGGTGCCAGGGGCAGGAGTTTGTGTGGAGACAGGGGAGAGTGGGCGAGCAAGGGAGTGAGCGGTGGGCTGAGCAGAGTCAGCAGCCCTGGCCACCGTGGAGAGTGTAGGACGAGTCACTGGCAGGGCCGGAGGGCGGCCCAGCTCCCTGCCCTCTTCTGCCTTTTGGCCCAGCCCTCTGAGGCTCACGGGCAGGGCAACAGTACCCACTGAGCCTGAGTCCTGCCCGGCCAGGCTGCTGTGGGTTGGGGAGGCATGAAGCACACACAACACACAAGAAAGCTTATGTGCGGGAAAGAAAATGCACCTCCATCGAAAAGGGTAATAGACTACACAGAGCTGGAAGGAAAAAAAGAATAATAAATTACCTTCAAAATACCCCCATTTGCTCAAAAAAATTCTTTCCTGGGAGCCTGCTGACACTTGGCTATCCTCATCCTCAAAATGGATACTTGTTAATAAACGATTTTAGTCCCCCCCCAGGTGGTCCTTGGCCTCCCCCAAGGACAGCCCTTTTTGGTCCTCAGTGATAGTCTCACCCTGCCCTGCCCCTGGCTCAAGGGTCTTTGTTAGTGTGTGCCTGATGAAAGGCATGTCCTGGCCTTGTTCCCAGTGGGGGACCCTGGTGTGGTGCCTCCCCCACCCTCACTGCTGCTCAGGACAGAACTGGATGACATTTATTGAAATCCACTTAGGGACACCCACTTCCAAATAAGGCTGCAGGGCTGAAGGACTGTACCCTTCTGGGAGGTGGTTAGGGAGGGGACTGGCTGGGGCTGGGTTCCCCTGCTTTCCTGCAGGCCAGGGCCAGGGCGCATGCACGCCTGGTTGGAGGAGCACGGGGTGGGGGGGTGGGGGGGCACCAGGAGGTAGAAGGCAGAGTGCCCTGCCTGGCTGTCATTGACAGGGTGGGGAAGGGAACTCCGGGCTTGGGTTGGCAGTGCTGATCAGCATGGGAGCTCAAACATTCCCTAGAGGCAGGAGTTGGTCCAGAAGAAAACAGGGCATGGCTCAAGTGATCTCTTCCTCCAGTGTCAGGACCCCTGAAGAGCTCTGCTGGGCCTGGAGAGACCCTGAGGGCTGGTGCCCTTGTGACCCGTCCCTAAATGGTCCCATCAGCATTTCTCCCACCCTCCGACCACAACAGGCCGAGGAGACCCAGACCTGGGCCTCCCATGTCATCTTTCCCTTGCCAGAATGCACGGGCCTGTGCCTGGCTCCCAGCGGAGGCCAGAGTACAGTCTCCATTTGGTCTAAAGGTCCCTAGTGGTGCAAACGACTTGGGGGGAGGGAGGGCTCAGGACAGTGGGGCAGTAGCTTGTTTCTCAGCTGCAGGAGGTGCAGGCCACAGCACGTGGGTCTCCCCATTCCCCACGCCCTCCCTGCCCCAACCTGGGGTGGCCTGGCCTGCGCTTGCGCTATAGCACGTTGTAGTAGGCCATCTCTTTCATGGCCTGTTCGGTGAGGACGCTGGCCTCAGCGCTGCCATCCACGCCAGCATAGGTGTAGGCATTCTCCTCGAAATCCTCCATCTCCTGCTGGCTTTCAAGCTCAGAGGGGTCAGTGCCTGTCAGCTCCATCATGGGGTCTGCAAAGAGAGGGGCACAGTTAGGTCTGGCAGCTGCCTCCTGGGAGGAGCTGGGCCCTCCTGCGGGAAGCTGATGACTTTTCTAAAGAAAGGACTTCCTGACCATTGCTTCTAGACATTCCCAGCTGCCTCTCAGACTTCCCTCCCTGGGATGCCTCAGGCTCCTGTGGCTTCTCAGATGGGTCACCAGACCTCAGCCCTAAAGTTGTATGTATGTGGGGTGGGTGCTAACAGCGATCACCCTCACACGGAGACCCACAGGCTGGCTTTGAAGCCTTTGGGTCATGCTCCACAGCCACGTGACAGCCTGCTGCACTCTACCGTGTCTGTAACACCGCTCATTTGGCACCCACTGCATGCCAGGCACTTCCTATACCTCATCCCATCCAATGCCCACAGCAACCCCACTCAGAAGATCAAAAGCCTGAGGTTCAGAGAGGTTAATTAACTTGTCAAAGGTCACCCAGCAAGTGCTGTTGTTTTGAACCACTGCTGCTTTGCCTTGGATTGCTGGAGGAAGCTGTTTCTCCTCTGATCTCCTGCCAACATTAGTGCTTTAAACCACTTCTACCCAGTGGTATCCTTGGGCCTGGCTCTCCAAGGACAAAAAAAACACCCAAGGTAGGTTAACAAAGATACGTGAGGCAAAAACTCTAAGAGGCCTCTTGTAATTTTTATCAAACTGAAATCTTATTACAAAGCTTTTACTGTTGTAACAAAAACCAGATAGAATAACTCCACAGAGTAGGATGTGATCTGGGGGCCCTGGGAGGCCGGCTGGCAGGGGCTGTGGCTGACCCTCAAAGTGCATTCTGCCCTGTCCACAGAAGAGATGCAGTGTGTTTTTGGGGGACACAGACCCCAGAAGTCCAAGGCAGGGTTTTTCAGCCTTGGCACTATTAACTTTTGGGCCATAATTTTTTTTGTTGTGGGGGCTGTCCTGTGCATTGTAGGGTGTAGTAGCATCCCTGGCCTCTACCCACTAGATGCTGGTTGTCCCAGTGTGACAACCAAAAATGTCTCCAGGCATGGCTAAGTGTCACCTGGGGGACAAACTCACCCCCTGTTGAGAATCACTGGTCTAAGTGTGATCACAACCCTTGTCAATGAGTGGTTCAGGGACAGGCATGTGACCCAATTGTGGTCAGTGAATGAAGAGGGAAGGCCTGCTAGTAAGTTCTTAGAACATCCTCATTGGTTTCAAAGAGCTAAGGGGAACAGACTGTCTTCCACTGGATGTGAACAAGGACACAAGCATACTGCCCTGATGGCCCCTGGCAGACATCCTGTGACCATGAGGAAATCACAGCTGAGGCTGTGGACAGACAGGGGAGCCTGTCTCTCTGACGTCATTGTTGAGCTGAATCAGTCAACTCTGAAGATGGCCTAGATTTCAAGTCATTTCTTAATCTATTTCCTTATGGTTTAGGCCAGTCTGAATGGGTGTCTGTTACTTGTGCGCATAGCACCTGACACACTGTGAGCCTTCCTGACTTTGTAAAAAACAAGGCCAACTGTCCCAAATCTTACAGACCTTAGGCTGTTTCTTCCTTAAAGCTTAGTGCCACACCCTCGTGTTATATAGCTGATTATAAAAACAAGCCAAATAAAGCACCCTGGGAAAATGTCCACTTCTGGATCTCTGTCCCCTGTCCCACTGTGTTTATGAAGACTATTGGTCCTGTCCACTTGGCCCCAGGGAATAGTCTGTACCATTTTTTTTTACAAGGACATTGATCCACCTCCCCCAAAACAGCCCAGTAGTTTACTCGGTGGCTTCATCCAGCTGCCATCTGTATGCTGCCTTCCTCCTGCATAAGCATCAAGCCCGAGCTGCTCAGCCCATGAGGCTATATGTGAGAGGTGGGTGGACTGGAGCCCCTGGCCATTCCAGTGCCATCACTGCTTCATTCTCTGTCACCTGGTACAGTCTGGCTGAAAGCAAACCTAAGCATCCCTGGTTACTGACCTCATATGGAAAGAGCTTGTACTTTAACCACCATTGGGAACAAGGTGTGCATGGATAGTCTTTTGAAGGTTTCAGTTATTTCTAAAAGGGCAAGGTCGGCTCTGGTTTCTCCCGGTGGGTTAGCTGTATGGCAGGTTCACTAGAGTAGTAGTTCTCAAACTCTACTGCACATGGAATCACTGAAAGTGCTTTCAAAAATCCTGATCCCAGGCCTCATTCCAGATTAATTACATTTGAATCTCTGAGGTCCAGACTCAGGCATCAGCATTTTTTAATTTCCTCAGGTGACTCCCAACATGCAGCCAATTTGAGAACCAGTCTTGAGTCTATATCAAAGGTTCTCAAAGTGTGGTCCCTACACCAGCAGCTTGGGTAGGACCTGGGAACTTGTTGGAAATGCAGATTCTCCGACCCCACCCCAGAGCTACTGAATCGGAAACTCTGGGGGTGGGACCCAGCAATTTATTTCAACAAGCCCTCCAGGAGATTGGGAGGCTCTACTCTAGTTCAGTGCTTCTCAAGTTTTACCATGTAACATAGCACAGGGGATCTTTTTGAAATGCAGATTCTGACTCAGCAGGTCTGGTGGGACTGAGTCTCTTTCTAGCAAGATCCCAGGTGATGATGCTGATATTGTTGGTCCTTGTACCACATTTTGAGTAGCAAGGGGCTATAGAGAGCATCTATATGCAGCCAACAGGTTTCATTTGCACCTATTGGCACCAACCTTAATAGACAAACTGAAAAACAAAACAAAAAACGGAGACACCTGCTTCTGCCAGAAAACCCAGGCCATTCACTGGTCCGCTGCTCCAAAACCAGTCAGGGTTATTGCAGCCACCCTCCAACACCTGACTGGTTTCTAGTGAGTAATCCCACATGGTGAGTCAACTCACCTGGTGACTGCCAAGGCCAGTTCCCAGCTAGTTTGTCTCAGAAGGAGCATCAGAAATAGCACCAAACTGTACAAGGAACCTTCCTGAAGTGCCATCAGCTCCCTGCTTCCTGTAGAATCTCTAAAGCACCCCCTCCCCACAATGAGGCCAGTGAGACTAACAGCTCTGTTTTGGCCCAACATGAGTGCTTTTACTACTGACCAGTGCTGAAAGGAGAGGCTGTTGCTAACACTTGGGGATGTTTTATAACCGCCTCTGAAACTCCTGAGGTGTAGGATCCTCTCTGGAAATGTCTCCCAGATCTTAATGGTAGGACCATCTGGCCTTCTGTAAGTTACACTCTCTTTGGCAGGCACTGTGAAGAGTGAGACTGATTGTGTTACAGTCTTTGCCTTGGCTGCTGGGAAGCTCAGAGCTCCCCTCTGCATGTCCATTGGATGTCCCATGGTGTACTTGGAATTGTGACTTTACCTGGTTCTCCCTTATCTTTCCAGCTGCTATTTCACCCCTTTTGTAACTTCCATTCTCATCCACTTATTTTATTTTATTTATTTATTTATTTATTTATTTTCTTTTTTACTGACCGGTAATGGGATCGCAACCCTTGGTGTTGTGCCCGTACCGGGAACCGGCAACGGGATTGCAACCCTCGGTGTTGCGGCCGCACCGTGCTCAGCCAGTGAGCGGGAACCGGTCTCCACATGGGATCCGAACCCTCGGTGGGAGCGCTACCGCGCTCCCAAGTGGCACACTCTCCAGTGCGCCACCGGGCCGGCCCCTCATCCACTTATTTTAAATATTATCTCACAAAATGAGATAGTGTCTATCACCTTTGTGTTGTTATCTTGCATGAGTTACCGATAACTTCGTATAATGTATGCTATACGAAGTTATTACGCCCTCGGTGTTGCACCTGCACCGTGCTCAGCCAGTGAGCGGGAACCGGTCTCCACATGGGATCCGAACCCTCGGTGGGAGCGCTACCGCGCTCCCAAGTGGCACACTCTCCAGTGCGCCACCGGGCCGGCCCCTCATCCACTTATTTTAAATATTATCTCACAAAATGAGATAGTGTCTATCACCTTTGTGTTGTTATCTTGCATGAGTTACCTAACCTCTCTGTCCTTCAGTTTCTGCATCTGTAAAATGGGGGATAATAACAGAGCCAACCTCACTGCGAGGATCACTTGAGTTAATAAAGTCCTGGCACACAGTTAGTACTCAATAAATGTTAGTTATTATTTTTATTATTATTGTTTATGTGAGCTCATTTAAGTCCTTTGAAGACATAAATATCCCATCATCATCGCCATGATGGCCCTCCAGGGTCTGCCCCTCTGCAGCCCTGAGCCCACCCCAATGAGGTCTCAGTCTTTGCCAGCCTCCCCATTCCCCTAACTGGACAGGAGGCTCCTGAGTGCGCCATGTTGGTATCGTTCCTGCTCTGTCCGTTGCGCACAGGCCACCCACCTTGGCTGTCCAAGCCGATGTCCATGACGCCATGCTTGACCTTCATGTGCCGGCTCAGGTTGCCCTTGAGGTTAAACTTGCTGGAGCAGTAGGGGCACTTGAAGGGCTTGCTGCCTGCGTGCAGGTGCATATGGCCCAGCAGGTTGTACATGCGGTTGAAGGACTTCCCGCACACCTGGAACACACCAAGCCGGTGCCATTAGGTTGTGGGGAGTCTGTCCTCCCTGGACCCCCAGCTCACTCCCACCTCCATGGCTGGGCCAGAATCCCATTCATTATGGGCAGCACTCTCTTGTCCTTTCTCTATGTGATCTGAGAAGCAGAGAAACAAGTGACCCTTTGCTGGTCACTGCCCCTGTGAGTCTGTCCTACTCTCCCTGAGCTGGATTTATCAGAAACCCAGGGCTTGGATCTCTAGCTGCAGTGGGTACCAGGCCTGGGCCCTTTCTCTGTGGCCACACCATGACCTTCACTCCCATTCCCAGCTCTCAAGAAACATAATTTCAGCAGTTTCTAGGATCTGAAACCGCCCACCCCAATCCCCAAAGCCCAGGCAGAGTTTCACCCAGCCAGGGCTCCCCTTTCCTGCACCAACCAGGCTCGTTTTTGGTGGGCCCCAGTTGCTACAGCAGGCTGACTCCAGGTTGCCCTTGGGGAGGCCCTGGCTCCAGCCCCAGCTCCTGCCAGCCTGGTACCTTGCATTTGAATGGCTTCACGGGCGAGTGTACAATCATGTGGGTCTTGAGGGTCTGCTTCTGCACGAAGGTCTTGAAGCAGATGTGGCACTGGTAGGGCCGGACGCTGGTATGGATCAGCATGTGCCGCTTCATGTTTGCTTGCAGGGTGAACTCCCGGCCACACACCTCACACTTGAACTCCTTCACGCCCTGTGGGGTGGGGGTGATGGTCAGGGCTATGCAGTGGACACAACCTCTGGAAGTGACACTTGGTTGCGGGGAGGTGTCAGGGCCATAGCATCACTAAGGCACGGCTTCTGGGAAATGTCTCTTTCTGGGGTATTCAAACAGGTACCACTTGTTTAAAACTACTGGAAGAGGGCTGGCTGGTTAACTCAGTTGGTTAGAGCATGGTGTTATAACACTAAGGTCAAGGTTTGGATCCCCGTATCAGCCAGCCAGAAAAAAATAAAATGAAACATAAAAATAATTAATAAAACTACTGGAAGAATGTTGGGGCAGAGCCACTTACTCCAGGAAGCCTTCCAGTAATAAGCAGAAATGGGCTGCACTTTACTATTCTATCTGCACGCCTGCTATCTCCTGCCCACCAGGCGGGTGTGCAATGTAGGTCTGTATCAGTGCACTGAGGCACATGTGTGTTCATTCATTCATTCAGCAGCCATTGACCAGGTACCTACTATAAGCCTGAACTGGGCAAGGCACCAGGGGCCTGTGCTCGAGAAGACATGGCCCTTGCCTGGTGGCTGTGGACTGTTTCATCAGATGAAGGATGTGTGCATATGTTTTTCTCCTCAGTGCTGTCTCTTGGTGGTCTTTTTGGTTCACAGACCCCTTTGAGGATATGATTAAATCTATGGACACCTCAGGAAAAATGACACATACTCAGCTCTTCATAGTATTTTAAAAGTTGTCAAGCCATGGGAGCCCATCCACTGACCCCTTGAGAGAGTGTTTTCCAAACCTCCCTGGTGAGAAGATCCACCTGTAGTTTTTGTTGAACATCCAGCCTCCCAGGCCCCTCCCTGGGGAGTCTAGTTCAGTGGGGCAGGCTTTTTATTCTCAACAGGTCACCCTCATCGTTGATGGATGTTGGAACTCTTGGCCCCAGGACACACAGACTCCAGGGGAAAGCCCTCTGCTTTGGACTGTCAGCATGCTTTTCCCCTGTGGTCTGGAGGTGACTCCCTGAGCAGGACAGGGTGCTGTGTGCACAATTTATTGTCTGTGCAGGAAAGTTAGGATAAAAATTGGGAGGTGTTCTCTCTTTGCTAAGTGAGTAACTTAGTAGTAGCTCAATGGGACAGACACATGTCTGTGGTCACAGCTGCTGTCCTAACTGCTTGTTTGGCACAAAGTTTTATATTATAATTTAATGGCTCCTGTGTCTGTTTCTTTTAGCAGACAGGGGTTTTGTTGTGCCTCGTGTTGTATGCCCTCTTGACACATAGTAGATGTGTGTGACCACCAGGGGGCCCTGCCATTCAGGAATTTACTTTATAAGCACACTATGCATATGGTGCAAATTTAGGCTGATGGAATGTGTTCAACTTTATTAGCCTTTGATTTTTTGCTTTCAGCCTTTCTTCACAGTATTATTTATCTTCAGATACTTTGTGGACTTATGGGGATTTTTAAGTCCCCTAGTAGAGGAGAAAGATGGCAAATACATCTACAGCGCATGTACCATCACTCTCCACTCTCACCTGTTGCAGACATTAACAATCAATCATAGAGTTTTACTGCCAAGCCCAGGTTCAGCTTCAGAATCCTTCTTAACATTACCACCAAGCAACTAAAGGAGCCCTAGCAATGAGACCTGCATATCATCCCTACTCTAGCAGGAAAAGTTCCCAGAGCCGGAGGCTGCATTCTTGGCCTGGCAGGCTGCTGCTTCCCCATTCACTGTAGTGTCCACTGTGAGAGAGAAGGTTACAAGTCTGACTAGTAGGCTGCCATTACAGAGGAAGGAAGCTCTACGCACATTTAGCTTCGAAGGACTGAGTTGGTTGGATATGGGGAGAAACCATGGAGTAGTCAAGTGCCAGAGTGGGACGGTGGGACACTGGAGGCCTCATTCCACCTGCCTGGATGTGAGGGCCCATGGGAGGAGGTGATGGCTGAAAGGCAGGAGAGGAGGGCAGGAGAGAACGGGTCAAGGCTGGGTCTAGGGTCATGTCGATCAGAATAGTGCTGCTCAATCTTCCACCTTCACAAACCACTTTGCCTAGAACCACTTGTATTTTTCTATAACAAATATTTTTCCTTACATCTATTGCCCCTTTAAAAATTAAACATATTTGGCGTATATCTAAAGTCACAGGTTTTGATATACTTTTGTAAAGACAAGGAGCAAAGGACGCCCTCTGTACTTCTGACCACCGAGTCCATCTTCCTGTGGCATCCTGGCCTCTCTCTGGCCTTGGTCCTGCCATGTAGAAAACAGGGAGGTTAGGCTACGCCAGTGATTCTCAAACTGTGTGCCTTGGATCCTGCAGCGGTTCTGCAGGCATTTCATTCAAAACATTTTGGTTTTTTTTTCCTTTTTGTCTTTTTTCGTGACCGGCAACAGGATCGCAACCCTCGGTGTCACGCTCGCACCGCGCTCAACCAGTGAGCGGACCGGTCTCTATATGGGATCCGAACCCTCGGCGGGAGTGCCACCGCACTCCCAAGCGCCGCACTCTACCGAGAGTGCGCCACCGGGCCGGCCCACATTTTATTTTATTATTATTATTTTTTTCCTTTTTGTCTTTTTTCGTGACCGGTAACGGGATCGCAACCCTCAGTGTCACGCCCATACCATGCTCAACCAGTGAGCGGACCGGTCTCTATATGGGATCCGAACCCTCGGCGGGAGTGCCACCGCACTCCCAAGCGCCGCACTCTACCGAGAGTGCGCCACCGGGCCGGCCCAAAACATTTTTTGAATAAGTAAGGTTTTACTGTTTAGAAAACAAATTTTGATTATATTTCTTTTTACTACTCATCAAAATAAATATGTAACTATAAAAATAAGATGTGTTCATCTGGTTATCACCTAAATGATCTCATTTGATCTCCTTTGAAAAAGTGGCGGGTGGGAGGCCGGCGACAGGCAGCCTTACCTTGTGGGTGAGCGAGTGCTGCTTGAGGTGGTGGATCTGGCTGAACTCCATGCCACATTCGGTGCACACGAAGGGCCGCACGTTCTGGTGCTTGAGCATGTGGTTCTGCAACTGGCTGCGGTAGTGGAATGACTTGTTGCACTCGAGGCACTGGTAGAGGGTAGGGCCCTGGTGGGAGGCCAGGTGGCGCTTGAGCTGGGTCAGGGTAGAGAAGTCCAGGCCGCATTCGACGCAGACGTGGCAGCGGCCACTCTCGTGCTTCACTTCGTGGGCCTTGAGCTCGCTGGGGTAGGCAAAGCCACGGCCGCAGAAGTGGCAGCTGTAGGGCTTGACCTCCGAGTGCAGCAGCATGTGGCGCTTGAGGTGGCTGGTCTGTGTGAAGGCCTTGTGGCACACCTGGCACTTGTGTGGCCGCGTGCCCTGGTGTGTGAGCAGGTGTGTCTGCAGGTGGCTGGGCTGCTTGAAGAGCTTGCTGCAGTGTGGGCACGAGTGCGGCTTGATGCCATTGTGGCCCAGGATGTGCGTCACCAGGTTGTACTTGGATGTGTAGGACTTCTCGCACATGCGGCACTGCCAGCGCTTCTGGCGGTCACCCGCCTCCACCAGGTAGGAGTCATCGATCTGCACGTTGATGTCCAGCCGATCCAGCTGGGCCTTCTTGTGGCGCTCCACGGTCGAGCCTGCCGCATCAGCCTCGAACTCGCTTGCCTCCTGCCACACGAACCCCTGTTCTGGCTTTACAGGCTCTGGGGACTCCATGGTGGGGACCTCGGGGTCACTCAGGGGGGCCAGGTGGGGTGGCTCAAAACCACACTCCGTGGGCAAGGCCTCTGGCCCAGGCAGCGCCATGCTGGGCTCAGGGAAGCCATCCTGGGCCGGGTCTGCGAAGTGAGGGTCGTAGGGGGTGACATCCAGCTCTGGCCTTTGGGTTCGGGGCAGGTGCCGGAGTGTCCGGGGCTTGCGGCTGAAGGTGCTGAGGTCGATCATCTTAACAGCGCTGCTATGCACCAGGGCCTCACAGCCGCCACTGGCCACCTCGGTGGGGGCCTCTGCTGGGCCTGCATCCTTGTTGTCACCAGGCACGGAAACCTCGTAGACCTCCTGCTCTTCCTCCTCCTCCACCTTCTCGAACTTGACCTTGGGCACCAGCCGCACGGGGGGCCGCGTCTTCCGCCGGGTGTGCTTCTCAAAGGCTGCCTCTACCTCTAGCACCTCTTCTTCTGCTGGCTCCTCCAGGACCCGCCCGTTGCAGGCCAGCTGGTAGACATCAGGGCCTGGTGGTCCGGGCTCCCCCACAGCTGCCCCAGACAGCTCAGGCCCCAGCTCTGGGTAGAAGGCCTCGGCGCTTATGGTGGCTCCAAAGAGCTCATTTTCTGAGACCAGGCCCAGCACAGCAGCCTGAGCCAAGGACAGTACTACCACGGCGTCCGTCTGTGTCCCTGAGTCCATGAAGCCCTCCATCCCGCGGTGGCTGGCTAGGAGGGCATTGCTGTGGGCAGAAAAGGGAATGTTAATACTGCTGGCTCAGTGCTGCACAGGCAGACAACAGACACAGATTCAGCATGAACAAAGGCTCGGCTAATTTTGGGTGTGTCTGGCCCTGTCCTCTTTCTACTCCTGCCTTGGGAACAGGGCATGCTTGCAATTACAGGGAGCAATGATACCCTCTGTGTATCTAACCATCTCCTCCATCTCTCTGTAGGATCCTGGGCAAGGCCTCCCCCTTGATGGTCTCAGTCTTCCCATCTGTAAAACAGGAAGGCTGGATTTCCTCAGTGGTTCTCAAATGGTCCTTCGAGAATGCCTCAAAAATCTGATTCAAAAATGCAAAAAGTAAAGATTCTACTATTTTAAAAACTAACTTTATAAAACCTACCCACTAAAATGTAGTATGTACCACATTCCAACACATACCATAGCCCCACTGGCTTTGCTGCCAAGGTAATTAATTTTGCACAGACCGTGAGACTGTATGGTGAGGTGTTAAACAGCGGTCACAGTTTGTAATGGCTTGGCTCTATGAGGATTTTTATATACAATGTGTACACATATATGGCAAAAACATGGCAATGTATAAAAATAAATTAGGCACTGAGGCCGATCTCAGACGCTGGCGACCCACCACTCAACAGCCCTGACGCTAAATGGCTATGTCTATCAAAACGTGTCATTGTTTTTCTTGATTGTTAGCTAAATGTTACACATTTAAATATCTAAATTTCTACTGATAAAAATATGTCTTTTATCTGATTTATACGTTGGAGTTCGACATCAGATCTGATTTGAAAGAAGAGTTCCGTGACAGCTAACGTGTTTGAGGCCACTGTCTGAATTGAATGCTGAAACTGGCCCCTCAGGTCATGTTCACAGTCTCTGATCTAACAGGTTCTTCTAAACAGTGCCAATGTGCCACCTGTCCAGGGGCACACTGTGGCATAGGGGTGTCCTCCCTTCCAGGAGGCTCCCAGCCGCATCAGTACGCACCCGCTTCCTAAGCATGCAGCATAGCTTGCCCTTTGCAGACACGGTTCTTCCACCTGGGGCACCCTTTCCCTATCCCACTGTGCTCCTGCTCCTCCCAGACATCCCTCAAGGTCCACCTGTCCCTGGGGCCTTCCCAGCTCTCCCCGTGACCTCTCGAGCTTTCCCAGGACTATGGCACACCAAGCAGTGTGCCCCTGGCTGTGTGGTGGCCTTCTCCTGGGCCTCAGACACTCATGTTTGTACCCCCTGCCCAGGCTCAGTGCCTGGCCCATCAGAGGACAGGGGATGGCATTACTGGGGTGACTCCTGCCTGCCTTGCCTGCTTTCCTCCCAGGGCCAGGGTCAGGCACTCAGTAGTGGCCCTTCCTCAGGAAACTGGCTCTCCTCCTGGTGCCCCCCTTCCCCCAGCACCCAGTGGAGCTTCCCCTTCCTGAGGCGGCCTAAAAATACCCCAGACAGGAATTTAGCCTCTTTGAAATGAATACTAAAGATTAAACTATTAAGCTTAGAGTGGGGCTCTCGTGCAAGGGATCAGATAGAAGGAAACCTCTGACAGGGGGACTTCAGGGTCCATCTGGAACAGGCTGCAGGGGCTAAATTTGAATTCCTTCACCCCTCTGTCCCATGGCCAGCTGCTGAAAGTGCTCTCAACTAGGAGTCAGGCAGCTGGACCTCAAGTCCTGGCTCAGTCACTTGCAAGACAAGCAAAGTCACTTCAAAGGCACATCTGCACCTCAATCTCCTCCCCTAAAAATTGGGGATGGAAATACCAGTCCATGGAAGGGTTGTGAGCACCCAGAGGCCATAACGCAGGTGAAGGGGCTTAATTAATTATAAAGCCGTAACCACATGCAGACAGTCTCCATTATCTGTCTACCCAGATCTCTAAAGGAAGCCTTTTCTGAAGAAAGCCACAGAGCTGAGAGATTTTTCCATTCTCGGGCCCCAAAGTCAGCAAAGCTTCGGTGATACTGAGGACAACCACTAGGCAGGAACTCATTCATTCATTTGTGCAATAAATATTTCCTAAGTCTCTGCTATGGGTCAGGCCTTGTGCTTGGAGACCGCAAGTGAATGAGGCAGGGTCCCTGCCCTGCTGTGCCCACCACAGCCACTCCAGGGTTTTCTGAGCAAGCTGAGCAAGTTTTCGTCGCTGCCTCCTGCCACAGCAGTCTGTCTCTGACGCAGCCCCCAGAAGCAGCCCTTGTGTCTGCAGGGGGTTAGGGCAAACAATGTGCTCAGCATTTTTCTAGACTTCCCCGCAAAGGTAGGACCAGAGAAGAGGAGGATCTGGTCATCAATGGTGAAGCATATGCGTGGGACTTGGCACTGGATTCTGAATTCAAATATGAGCTCTGCCATTTCTAGCCCTGTGAACTCAGGCAAGTCCCACTGTGTCCTAAGCCTCAGTCTCCTCATCTCTGTAGAGGGGGAAAGGGTTCCCGACTCATGGGCTAGTGAGGACATGAGATGAGACTGCTAGTGTAAACGTTAGTTTCCTTCTCGCTCTTTCCCTCCTCAGTCCCAATACCTGCCCAAGTGCGGGGCTATGTCTATCAAAACGTGTCATTGTTTTTCTTGATTGTTAGCTAAATGTTACACATTTAAATATCTAAATTTCTACTGATAAAAATATGTCTTTTATCTGATTTATACGTTGGAGTTCGACATCAGATCTGATTTGAAAGAAGAGTTCCGTGACAGCTAACGTGTTTGAGGCCACTGTCTGAATTGAATGCTGAAACTGGCCCCTCAGGTCATGTTCACAGTCTCTGATCTAACAGGTTCTTCTAAACAGTGCCAATGTGCCACCTGTCCAGGGGCACACTGTGGCATAGGGGTGTCCTCCCTTCCAGGAGGCTCCCAGCCGCATCAGTACGCACCCGCTTCCTAAGCATGCAGCATAGCTTGCCCTTTGCAGACACGGTTCTTCCACCTGGGGCACCCTTTCCCTATCCCACTGTGCTCCTGCTCCTCCCAGACATCCCTCAAGGTCCACCTGTCCCTGGGGCCTTCCCAGCTCTCCCCGTGACCTCTCGAGCTTTCCCAGGACTATGGCACACCAAGCAGTGTGCCCCTGGCTGTGTGGTGGCCTTCTCCTGGGCCTCAGACACTCATGTTTGTACCCCCTGCCCAGGCTCAGTGCCTGGCCCATCAGAGGACAGGGGATGGCATTACTGGGGTGACTCCTGCCTGCCTTGCCTGCTTTCCTCCCAGGGCCAGGGTCAGGCACTCAGTAGTGGCCCTTCCTGGGGGGGGGGGGGGGGGGCGGGGCACAGAGAGGTGCCAACGACAAGCCACAAACGTGGGCAGAAGAGCTACAGCTTCTCATTACTAAGCACGCACAGATCCCAGGTGAGCCATTTCATTCTAAAAACAACCCCATGGGAGGGTAGTGTGCTCCGCATTTCACAGCTCAGGAAACCTGGGCCTAAGTAACATGCTCAAGAGTGCCCTGTGAATGGGGGGCAGAGCTGGGTCTGCAGCCAGGCCTGTGTGGATCCTGCAGCTGTGCAACCTGGGAGGCCACGTCGTGGCTCTGAGCCCAGCCTCCTTGGCTCTCAGAAGCTGCCCTGGGTCACCAGGGGCCAGCAGGGGCACATAGGCAAGACCTGGGCAGACTGTACCATGAAGCTGCAGGTTGCTCCCTGGCGGGCTTGGCCAGGGCCCCAGCCAGCTGGGGGAACTGGGGCCTTCCCGAGGGCAGCAGGATCCCTCCTCAGGTCTCTTCTTCTACTGGAAGTCTTCATCCAGCCACAGCCCCTGGCACTCGGTCCCTGCTTGCTCTTACACTGGATGATGGACATTGCCTGAGCAGAACACAGCACCCTGTAAGTGCCTGTTTACTGGGACTTACAGGCTGGGCTGAGCCCTGGGTCCATGCTATCCTGTTCACGGGGGCACCCATCCGTGTGTGTGTGTGTGTTTGCGTGCGCATTTCACGTGTGTGTTCCATCTGTCCACCATATACAGAGATGAGCAGTGGGGAGCAGGGGACTCTGTGACCCTGGCATCACTAGTTCCTCCTCCTGGGCCAGCTTTTTGGTTCACTTCTCCCGTCCCCTCTGGGCCTTCTCACAGGCTACAACCCTGTGGTTCTGGGCCCTGGCACAGGGCTGCCCAACCCCGAGGGCAGCCCACCAGGTATGCACCACCCATGCGCCAGGCTGTGTCCCCACCCCAAGGCCTCTTTGTCATCTGCCTGGTGGCCCCCTTGTGACACCTCCCTCCTCAGGGCAAGGCCTCTCCCCATCACTTGTGCTGAGGACTCAGAACAAGAGCTCTCAACAATGTCCAAAAGAAAGGGAAGATCAGACTGCCCTGGGCTCTCCCATGGCCTCGGCTAGTGAGATGACAGGAGACAACTGGTGGGGGTGTGGCCCAGCCTCCTACCAGGGCCCCCACGGTCCCCAGGGTCGGGAGAAAGTAAATGTTAAAGGTAGGGAGATAGAGAAGCTGCCTGATTGTAGCTGTGCAGGGAGTAGGGGGAAGGGAGGCCATAGCAGAGAGAGAGAGAGAGAGAGAGAGAGAGAGAGAGAGAGAGAGAAATGAAGAGATAGGAAGGGAATGGGGGCAGAGGAGGAGCCTGAGTGAGGGGGAGGGAGAGAGAAAGGGAAGCTGTGGAGGCCAAGAAACAAAGGCAGGGGAGGGGGAGGGGAAGGAGTAGAGGGGGAGGAGGCAGGGGGCCCTGCTGTGACACCAGAGCCCAGGAATGCCCTATTTCCCAGGGCTCAGCATCACTCCCTCCTGGGAGTCCCTGGGGAGGCTTTCCTTCTCCTCTCAACCTCGGAGGCTCCACAGGAGACCTTCCCCACCAAAGCAGGGACCAGACCCAGGCTCCCCAGAGTTACTCCATCTAGTGTTTTGCCCCTTTCTCCATTATACTGTGGTTCCTGCAAACACTGATATGAGCTGTAATGAATGACGTGCCCTGTGACCCTGGGCAAGTCACCTGACCCCTCAGGGTCTTGGTTTCCTCATCTGTAAAATGGACACAAGGGCGTATGTGGAACCTCGACGGTGGGTTAAGTGTTGGTCCCCTCCCCAACATGTGACAGCACCTCCTCTCATCCCTGCTCTAACAGCTCCTCTCATGGAGACCGTATATACATCCCTGCTCTGGGGACAGTGGAGTGTCAGGCAGAACAGGGTGGCCAGAATCCCCTGGGACACAGATGGTGGGGCAGAGTGACCAAGTCACCCAAGGCCTGACCGGGCTTGGGGCTGGCGGGACAGGAGGCATTTTGAAGGATCAACAGGGCCTGGTGGCCATCTGGATATTCTTTGACTAACTTCCACCACCTGGGAGGCCTCAAAACCCAAGTGAAGACACAGGAATTCTCTGGGGCTTCTGGCAGCCCTGGCTTGGGATGTCATCAGGCACCTGTGGTCAATTCAACTTGACAACTATTTCCTGAGGGCCTCGTGGGTCCTTGCTTTCTGACACAGCCTCAGCAGCAACCAGGGCTTATGTTTGCCCCTTGGCCTCCATCTTGGCCTTGAATCACCAGGTTGCTCAGAGGCTGTGATCTCCAGTCCTGCAAATGAAACACTGACTCCACATGGATTTAGGTGCTAGGCATGTTCTTGGTCACAGGGATTCAGTAGGGAGCAAAACAAAGTTCTCACCCTCTGGGAGCCGACCCAAGTGAGCTTAGTTGACAGCTAAAGCACCAGGATCCT